AGATTTCTCATCTCACGATTAATCTATGGAGAATATAGAAAATTTTCGGCAACGTGCCTCGGAACAAAATTAAGAAGTAATAATAGTTTATTACCCTATATTATAATAGATAGTCCACCGATGAAAATATTAATTGAAACAGGNTATTTTTTTTTCACTTTTATGCCATTCTTGAAGAAATAAGTAATAACGAATATCTGCAGACACAATATTTACGGGCTGAACTCCAAAAATCAATTTTAGGAAAATTAACTATTTTCAAAAATATTTAGTTTTGGAAAACACTATAAAGATATATTCTTCCAAATTTTATCTTCTTTTGCTAATGTTTTGCTTAATGATTACGTTAAAATTATAAATTATAGAAAGCAATAGTCCCGCCACTCCAATTCAAATTCAGCTAACTGTAAGACAGCAAAAATCCGTAAACTAGAAATTGTAATCAGTTTTTTCTAATGGGATGGCAGGGCTATTGGTGAACCCCAAAAAAAGCTAACGCGCCTTGGCAATACTTCGATTGTCGTGTGGAAATTTGCTTTAATAAAATTACAATTATCGAGATGAAATTCATGTAGGTACCTAACAATGTTTACACCTAATCTTTTGTCTTTTCTATTTTGTTCTTAATACCTACATGTTGAAGTGTATTTTAAATAACGTCACATACTATCAGTGATGTTATTTAGTTAGTTATTTAATAATTCAATTCATTTTTATCGTAATGGGTGTCTAAAAATCATGTGTAACAACGAGCAGTAATAACAAGTAAGACTCGCAGAATAGGACTCTCACATCGAATCAATGCGCTGTTGCCAAATTTCTCAGCATGGCTTGTATTAGAGACGGCTGTGGTTCAACCCTAATGAAATTGTCTTATGTAAAGTACAACGTGACACAAGTTATAATCACAATGACATTGGATTACCACCGATTAATTTAAATCATCTTCAGGGCAAATACAAGTGTAACATTGAAAAATTATGTAACCAGTTTAGACACATATTTTATAAAGAAGGCGATGCATTAGCATTCACTAGCTCCAATAAAGTAAACATTCGATACCTTTAAACGACGACACCCCAATTTTTTCAAAACCGTACAGATTTCCCCATGTTCAAAAGTTAGAGATTGAAAAACAGATAGAAGAACTTAAGCGACAAAACATAATAACAAAAAGCAGTTCACCGTACAGTTCACCAATATTTTTAGTTCCGAAGAAAGCAGATAAGAATGGCAAGAAATCATGGCGTTTAGTAGTAGATTTCGGAAAATTAAATAGTAAAACAATTGAGGATAAATATCCTATCCCCAACATACACTGAGAAAAAAATATGCAGAAATTACCATTATTTGGGTAAGTTGTGACTATATGTCGTGGTTATATGTGCGCCAAACACGACGATTGGTACCTAAATTTTATCACGACAAGTGTAGTGCTGGCGAAATAGTTAATACCGATGGCAACTATGACCAGAAGTGACAGTGAATGTCGTGTAAATTGTACCGCTAACGAATAGTAAGAAGGGATATATCAAAGTAGGTACTTGTGACTATAAAATGTTCTGTTAGCAAATAGAATGTGTGTAGGTGAAAGGGTGACATTAAATAATTGTTAGAAGTACTTATTGGCATAGTATTTCTTTCAATAAGGTATGGCTGAAATTAATCTATATGTAAGGGTGAAATAAGTAGAATAGTTACGGAATAATACGTTTATTTCAACGAAATATTTTATTATTATTTGAAATTTTACATTTAAATCTATTAGGAAGTATATATATAGTAACCACCGCAAATAATTACCATTGTGAACTACCTTTTGTAGGCAATAATTTTAATGTAGATAAATATTACCGAATTAAAACACGGACGTTCAACCACAGCCGTCTCTACTTACAAGCCATGCTGAAGGTTTACTTGGCAACACTGTGGGAGTCCCAGGATTTCCCAATTAATGATAGTTACAACTAATACATTGGTTGTTGTGTTTCTTTCATTGTTCTATAATATTTTAATTTTAGCGGAAAT